TATTACTTTTGTACAAGAGGAGAGAAGTTATCCTCTGATACTGAGACTAAAATTAGGAACTGAGAATATCATGGGGCAATCTGATGACCTGTACCAAAGAGTTGGAAAGAGTCTGTTCCTTGACATGAGACATTATGTCATCAATATAATGCAGGTGCAATCCTGATGAAATATATAAATAGTTTCTTTTTGCACAAAATAATGAAGTATGCTTAGATCGCATTTTCAAAAATTATTCACTTTGGTTTATTCAAATTATTCAAGAAAACAAACCCACCTTAACTGGTTTTATTTGTGAACCAAGCTAAAAAGTCTCTTTATTGGCAGAAGAAGCCAGCAACACAGCTTAATAAATACTTCAATTACTTAAACTCCACAAACTTCTAGTACAGGATTTTAATGTGTTTTGGTAGTCACTCACATTTCCAACAGCCATTCTTTGTATAATGATAGCTGCTGGTGTCAATGCACAGTTTCCAATTTTTTTACTCAAATAAATGAAAAATAATGGCTGATCTTTGCTTCATACATATCAAAAGTGCCTGAAATTCAAAACTTATTTAATGTATCATAAATATTACTTACTAGAGAATATTACTTGCTAGAGAAACAAACCTAGATTGTTTTGAAATTCAAAAATCTTGACATCATCTTACCTTGTCAGAAGCAGAGAAAAGTCTAATAACTGTAACAATTCTAGGGGAAACGCAGTAACTTGATGTGAAAATTATTGAAAGATTTACTGTGTGCTTTTCTGCAGAACTAATTATGAAAGAACATTGATTTGTAAAAAAAAAAAAAAGACATTCAAGTAATACTGTAAAGATATCAAATGGATGATCATCATAAAGTAAATCTGCATTTGGTTCTTCGTTCTTATGCAGGCAATGACACATCCATCTTCACTCAACAGATGTAGAACAGTAGATGCTGCTGTCCAGAGACTCAGCATGACATACATTAGAGTTTACAGCAGTGCCTACCTTATCTTGCAGGCCTAAAGAAATAATCTGTCCCTGTTTTTTAAAAAAAAAAAAAAGCCCATGGGCTCTGAATGAACAGAAAAATACCCAGAAAATTATGCAAAGAGGACAGAAAAAACATTTGTATTACTTTTCACTTAACATATAGATTAACTAGAATGACTGTCAGCAGCACAGTAGAAGGAACTCTTCAAAAGTGATTTACATTTTGAAGAGAAAAAAATTTTGCCTAAAGGAGGCTTAAAATATGAAGATAGCCTAAATGATTTAGCTTTTGGTATATACCGAAAAGTAAAAAGCAACCAGGTCTGAAAAATGGCTTAGATGTCTGGAAAAAAGAAATGAAAGGAATAAAAAACATTTTAACACTGAGGGCACTGAGGGTCAAGAAGCTCAGCAATGAGTATCTATTGATCTATGATGCTATTTTGATTTTTTATGATTCTGGTACTGAAAAAAATTATGGTGGTATTACAAAACAGCAAATATTCTCAGACCCTCTGGACAGGGTGTTTCTGCTGTTTTCTTGTTCTGCCCTTAACAGTCTATATGCTCTGTGCAACTGCTAACAAGGGAATCTCGGGAATTCTTTCTCTTTTATCTTCCCCTGGGACACCGGCAACTTCACTATAGCTGTGCTTGACTGTTCCCCTCTTGGGATCTAGAGGGTCACTGCCTTCCAGAATTCCCTTACCCTCCTCCAGCAGAGGATCCTTTAGACTGTTCTTATTCTTGCCAAGAGGGAGGAGGAAGACTGAGGGGTGGCCTGACTCCAGCCTCACCTTGCATTGTAAGAGCTCACACGGAATTCATCACTTCTAACAAGGGAAATGGCAATCATATTGGAAGCAGATGAAGATGCAAATCAGGGCTAGCATGGGTTAAATATGATAATTTGCACAAGATTAACCTCATGAATATCATGACACAGCGGGAGTGGGTATTGCTTGGTAGATTTAGAATTAAGATACCAACATGGTATCAATATCATTAGCAAGGTAGTGGTTGATGTGATACCAGGAGAGAAGGTGGGCAAAGGAAGAACCAAGTTTGATTTCTTCTCTGTTAAGTTTAAACTGACAATAAGACATTTAATAGTTGTTGTAAAGACAGCACGACAGAATGGATGACAAGATGAGACTTGCTAGTGTCAGAAAGGTGGCCTGAGGAGGTAAAGACTGATGAATGTTATTGTTTAAATAAGTAAAACAAAGGCTATTGAGAATGCCTAAAATCCTACTCAGACAGCAGGAAACAGGAGCAATATTATGCTGATTAAAGTTTTTTTAAAGGTGTTAATATCAAGATACTGTCATTTTGTTGGCAAAACATTAAGAAAGATAGACTGGCTGATAGAGACTCCAAAATTCAATTCTCTTCTGTAGTGTTTTCAGGATTTTATTTTAATCAGTTGCAAATTGCTGCTAACTGGAAATAGACCCAAATATTATCAGTTGTATTCTAAGTATCTAAATTAGGCAACCATTCTAAGTACAGTATGCATACTCTTGGGGTTTTTTTATGTTTTCTGAACAACAGGTAAAAAGTACCTTATAACTGCAAACTAAATCTCTCCAGTGAAAGAGCTGCTATGACTATTTACAAATAAATGCAAAATATAAAATAAAAGTTAACCAAACAGCATACTGGAATTACCAGTCACAGGAATACTGCCATGTACCAGACCACATCAGTATTAACGCAGAACACCAGCTGTACAAAACCACCATCATGCAAGTCAGATGACATTAATGAACAGCAGCCTTATTGTGCAGCTGAATGGGAGACTTGCAGTAATGTCTGGAAGAGTTCAATGACAGTACACTGTGCCTAAAGGACCCACGAATCAATACAATGTCACTGGAAGTGTTGGAGTTATTACAATGTCAATAAAAGTATAACAACAGTGTCCAAAGTATCAGTGAGTAACACACGATGTCAATAAAAGTGTGAGGTGAGGGAATGCAATGCACCATGGCTAAAATTGGAGACCCTGGTGTATATCAGTGCAAGATCTGTGCAATGCCAGCAGACCATTTTGAAGAGATTTACTGTATATTCTCATTTTTACCAAAATATCTCTAACTTTAAACCTCCCAAAAGGTATCAGATATGATAGCATTAAAATTATTTTAACTTAATACAACAAAATGAGGTTTACAGCTATTTGATACTATTCTATTCCTTAAGCACTGCATCCTGGAAATACATGTGTGACCTAAATTCCCCTCAGTCCAAAAGAGCAGAATATGAAGAACAGAATGGCAACTACAACTTTTAGTGTCCTTTCACAAATTGACAATAGACTGGGACCAGAAGCTTTATATAGTTCCTTTTTTTCACAGAATATATACTAAAGGACAATCAATACTCTGAATCCTCAGCACAATGCTTTGTTTGGATATAGATCAGTATATTAGAATTCTGAGAAAACTTTGAATGGACTTCATTCTGTGTCTAACTACATATTAATTAGGAAAAAACCACTATGGATGCTGAATTCTAAACAATTACTGGAAAATGCTAGGCTAGGAAGAAAAAGCTAATAAAAACTGTAAAATATAATTAAAATATTTTAGCATCTACCTCTTTTAGTGCTAAGTAAAAGACATGAGAAAGAAAATATGGCAATTAAATTGTGATGTTTACTTCTAAAGTTTAATTAAATAATCAGTATGTACAGAATTAGAGTTTGGATGCCTCAGCTTCCACTCACTGCCTCCCTTTGAAAAGACAACAGAGAAAATGTTCCCAGATACTAGTTTGTAGAAACAATGAAATCACATTTTAATAAAGTTAACTTTTAACTGCTGTGTAATGTGCCCTCAGCCTGGGGAGCTGGAGAGGTCTTCTCTTTCAAGATAAGAGGAGACAGAAGTATGGTCATATTGGTGAAGAATGTGAGAGTTCTAGTATTTGGTTAGAAAATAAGAAACCTTCTTCAAAGAAATATGTAATTTTTATTCACTAGCTATTCCAAATATTTAAATTATGACAGTAAGAACAACTGTGATTGTTTCCTGCACAGTAGCAGGACAGAGCATATCAGTTTGACAAGTAGTCAAGATCTGATTCTTTCTTTCTGGTATGAATCTGTTTTTCATGTTGCTTTCTTCTCCATGAACCTTAGAGATTTGATAAACTGTATTTAATCTTCCACTGAGATAGGCTATTGAGAAAAGCAAGAGAAACTTTGAATTTAAGAAGAATTGGCAGCAATGAAGAGTACAATCTTAAAAGATTTCAGAGCTATCACACCTCATTCCCAGGTCCGACCATAAATGGGATAAAGTAATAACTGTAAACACAATCTGGTAAAAAAAGTAAAGGAATAGAGGATTATGATCTACCAAAAGCCCAGCCTAGATTAGATATCCATTATTATCCAAAAATTGTAATTTTCCCTCTATTTTCAGGTAAACTTCCAGAATCCATTTCATGCATTATTACACCATTCCAATATCATATTGCTTTGCATATTATTATTTCTTTTCCAATGTACTGCAATTGCAATAAAAGATTGCAGTAATGTAGCCATTACCTACAAACAAAACTATGTGGTATATTCTGTATGCTTTAAACCTGTGCATATAAAACACAGCACTGAAACTCAACTCACAGCTGCTTTATTTATTTATTTGTTTGTTTGCTGTAATGTCTGTTAATTAAGATAGATGCTAACTAGGTGGCACTGTGTGCTTGAAGGGCTGAGCGTGACATTTTTTCCCTCCTTAATGCCTGCATCTTGCATTCCTTCAGCTCACATCCATCAGGAAAGGACTGCCAGGTGAGCTGACTGTCACTCCAGACCAGGCTAATAGATTCTCCAGTGGCTTTTGTTACAGTTCATGTCATGCTATTAAAACTCTGTGCCTTGAAAATGACATAACATACGTAGCTGAGACTTGTCAGCTCCAGGTAATCAGATGCTGCTTGGTTTCAGAAGCAGATGCAGATGAGACTGGCAATATAAATATGCAAATCACAATGGTCCCTTGTCAGCACCACTGTTCCTACCTCTAATGGCCCTCGTAGAAAGTCTGTTTGCTCAGCTCCTACTTCCAGTGCTACATCGACAGAAGCAAAGGGGCGGCTGGCCATCTGCTGTCGCTCCCGCATAAGTTGCTGATGAGGAAAAAATGATGTTTTAACAAAACATTAAAAAACGCACCAGATATTAGTCTGCCCTACTATACCTCCCATTAAAACATAAGAATGCAAATAGCATGCAAATAATCATATTTGTAACATCAAAGTGAGAAAGTTATACTAAATCATCATCATCATCATCATCTATATTTACTTGAGAACGGAGCACAGAAGGCTATGATGGCTACAAATGGTATTTCAGCTTGAACTCTGACAAAATCTCCAAACGAAAGCTTCCCTAACTGACTGTTCTCTCTAAACAACTTTGCTATTCGTGCAAGTGGCAAGCAAATATGGGAAATGGTTGGTAAAAATAGTTGAAATCTAATTCCAATGATAATGCAAGCATTAGAACACCTGCCAAAAACAAGTCCACTTGGCCTTCAAATTTTCATATTTCACAACTAAGCCAGATGGAGTTAATAGTGTCAGGACTCAATTTTACACAGTATCTTTTCTGCAGCTACTTTTATATAAGGAATAACATGTCAGGATTGGGAAGGCTGCATCGGTGTATTAAGAATAAGCTCAGCTATGCTCAGAGAGCTTGTATAATCCCTTCCAATCATACCAGTGTGCACAGAATTCCCTAGCAAAACCACAAAGTTAACTCATATTTCTTCCTCAATCTGTAATTATAATGCTTATTAAAGCATGATGTATAAAAATGATGACCAGCACTAGATATTACAGATCTTACTTCACTGGTTCAGTGCAACTAATAAAAGCATTATTAAATATTTAAGATGAATGATTCGTGCAATTCAAGTTATGTGTTCCTTCAGCTGAACAGGATGTCACAGCATCTTGAAAAGACAAAATGATTGCAAAAATGTTTTATTAGGAAAGATCTAAGTTTCATTTTCTTAGGGTTCTTCTCCCTTTTATATCTCTGGGAAGCTTAAAACATTAGAAGGTGGTATTTGAATGTAAATTACACTATCACTGTGACATACTGTTCATAAAAGCCTTTGAAAGAATAAAAGATATGCAAGCAAATATTTGCTGGCGGCTTACTAATAAACACCCTTGATTTAAGGCCTGTTACAAAGCAAGAAACTGGTTTTGTAATACTTCTCATGCATTTTGCCCTGACTTGCTTTTTAAGATTGTCTATAGTCATCTAAAGACGCACTCATAACGTTAAAATCAAACCAGTACAGTGGTCTCTCAGTGCATACCCAGTACATTCCTAAGGCCTGGTTTTTATAACCAGGCAGTGTGTTTGTCAGCAAGCACCTGCACAAATGCAGTATATCATACCAAGAGGATAATCAATATGTCTGTGGGTGAAACTGCATGTTTTATATTGGGAATAAATAAAAGCCCCGTATGAATACCTAGATGGTTAAGAATTATGTTTCTATCCCTTCACTTTAAAATGAAAACGGTGGTCTCTGTCTAGGATTTACATCAGCACTGATTTTTATCAATACAATATACTAATAGATTTTACAGCCCAAAAAATACTGAGTCACTACATGCTAAAATTACTACATCTAGCTCCTTTTCTTCCTAAAATAACAAAAATTAAAGAAAACAGTGTTATTAGAGCAGTCGTGCCACATGGAACTCATTAGAGTATTGTAAGTGTGCAGAGCTATTGGCAAGTGCTTACTCTTTAATGGGAAACCAAACACTGTTTTAAACAAATAGAACTGCTTGGGGAAAGTACTTAAATGAACAGAATAACCTACAACCCAAATGTGCAAACCATTATTTAAAAGGTTTACTTAATGTGAATCATAAAGATACGTACATTTGATATGTTTTCTGTTTTTTAAGTCTAGTAGGTTTCTTCAACTCTGCTCCTGGTCAGGCATCCAGTAAAACCTTTTCATTCATAAGACAGTCACTGTAATTTTGATGCTTTGTCATTTGAGAAGAGTACCACAAAGATTCTTAATTAGCTCAGTAAACAAGAATGAAAACTTTAAAATGTTCAGCTGCCCATAAAGTGCTGCTGAGTTTGGCAGCTGAGCACTTTCGCATCAAAGATAAGTGCTCTGTTCAAAATAAAGCTGCTTTCTGTTCAGCATTTTAAAACTCCCTGTAAGGTGCAGAACAGGAAAATTGAGACACAATGAAGAGAAATACAGGAAGCTATTATGATGCTTAAAATCAGTTTTGTGTCTGGAAAAGGTCACTACCTCCCACCATCTGCAACAGTCTGTATATCAAGACTGGGAAAAGACAAATTCCAGTTATAGAACATGTTGTGAGACAGATTATTGCGTGGTGAGTGTCATTCAGGTGTGACATCTTATGTGCTGTTTTCATGTAGTCCATATGGTCATGGGGAATTCCCATAATTCACCCATAGGCCAAGAAACATGACAATTCTCTGAACATGGGTACTATGAAAAGAGTGAAAAAGCTCCTCCTTGCCTTTTCAGCAGTCAAAGAGATAAAAAAAACCCAAAATGGAAAGTGGAACTATAATGCTGTTACTTCTACACTCATGTCCAAAAAAATTACTGCATTTAAAAATCATACAAACAAAAAATAAATACATACTTTTTCAGGAATTAGGGATATTTGCTTGGAGACATAATATAGATAGATATTATTAATATGTAATATTTGAATATTTTGTCCCAAATTTAATTTGTAACATTCAGAATATAGGCACACGTCTAAATATTCACTTAAAGGTATGGGAAATTATAAACATTATTTTTTCAGTGCAGGGAGTTTCACAGCGTCAGGACCGGGAAATTAAATAAGCATTTATTTGACTGAGCAGACAACTGATTTCAAGTTCTACCATAATTTTAAATCTCATTAAGTAGAAGATTATTGACAAGATTAATTTTTTAAGCATCTCTATTATTTTGCAGCAATTTCAAGGTATTAATTTCTATCCTATTAAAGAGTTTTTCTTTCAAAGTGTAGAATTCTAGCTGTCATCAGTGAAGAACAGTAAGATGTTAGGATACTACAAATTAGGTCAATTTCTCACTCAACACCCATATAATTTGAAAAAATTCTTAAAACCCAACAATTTCGGCATAACTAGTTCCATATCATGGAAATATATATTTCACCTGTTTCTCTATGCACATGTAGACATCTTAGATTATGGCAATTTTGAGTTTTGGTGAGCTAGTCAAATAAGTACCTTTGAAATAGGACCTACTTTCCCACCTAGAAGTAGATCACAAGAAAGTTTTTGCCTAGGTATGCAATTCAATTTTAGTATTGATCAAAAAAATTCTCATGAGGGATAATACTCCTCAATTCAATTTGGAGTAAATGAAAATGTTCCATAGTATTTTGTATAAGCTTCTATAAGGAAATGTTCTTATTTAAGTAGAAATGTTTTGATTTTTTTTCTTTTGGTTGATAACATTCAGACTTGCTTTCAAAATATTTTAATGCCTGCATTGTATTAATATACAATAAAACACTCAATGTAAAATATATATTACAGTGATTTAACAGTAACAGAATACAATATTCCAGCTGATGTGTTTCAAATGTTTTGTATTTTGCGAATTTCTCTTCTCCTTCCCTTCTCCTTCCCCTTCTCCTTCCCTTTCCTTTCCTTCTCTTCCCTTTTCTTTCCTTCTCTTCCCTTTTCTTTCCTTCTCTTCCCTTTTCTTTTCTTTCTTTCTTTTTTTTTTTTTTTAAGACTTGGTCTCTCAAATTGAATTCAATACTGTTCTTCTGACTAGCACTGCTTTTTCTATGCTATTCTCTTCACCTTCCAGTGGAACTGCCCTGGAAAAGCCCTAATTGGAAAAATCTAATAAAGTGCAAGAGACATTAGGAACTAGACAGGTATACTTTCTCTTTGTTATACAGTAACAGACATTCTTGAGAGACTGATAGATTGGGATAGCTGAAAAGGATGAGGCCATTTTAGTGCCATAATAGGACGAACAGAAAAATCCTTTCAAAGATCTTTCTGTTGCTGTTTGGCACCTCTAATGGGCTACTTTAGCCCACTGGCAAGCAAGGTACATGCTGAAGTGTGCCATGAAGGATGCACAGACAAGAGTGTATGTCCAAGTTCATAGGGAGCTCGATGACTAGGGTGGGGATAAGAAGTGGTAAACACCAGTAAAAATGTTCAGGAGACTTCTGACTGCCAAAAAGAAGAGTTTTCCTTTTGGCTTTTCAGAGCCAGGCAGTCTCAATACATTATCCCAGAAATAAGAAATGATACGGCAGTCGAGAGGTGCCTGTTATTTTAATAAGAGCAACAACTGCCTAGGTTTCCTAGCTTTTCTTCCTTCACATCTTAGATATGCTTGGTTTTTCCCTAGATCAGATCACCATTAATAATGTACCAGGACACATCCATGCATTTGTCAAGGTGAGTATTCAAAACCACGAAGGATAGCAATTCTGCATCTCTCTGGAAACTGCCGTCTAGTCCAGTGTTGCATGACCCTCCTTGTGACAAAGATTTTCCAAATGTCTCATTTGAAATTCCTATTCTGCTTAATCATCCCTGAGTTCTGAATTTTCTGCAGTTGCAAGTTGGTCTCCTCCTTTCCTGTTTCTGTGCTGTCAACTGCTGATGTGAGTAACATCAAAAGGCTACAAGAGAAGCATTAACAACACCATGCACTAAATCTGAGTTTTAGAGGAAAAGTATTGCAACGAGAAAAAATGCCAAAACCTCATGGCATTGACTAATTTCTGATCACACTGTATTTGACAAGCTCCAAAACTTAAAAAAATCAAAAATGTATGTAAGTAGGCAGCCCTGCAAAACCAGAGCCTCCGTAGGAAATGCAATTCAGCCACTCATTGCATATTCTTGAGGGTTCTTACTGCCATATCAAATCAACAGAAGTAACTTATATGGGCTTATATGACTACACAGATCTGAGTGGATCACAGGTATTTTAATTAGAAACACAATTTAATTCCCTTCAAAAATATTAAATTCTCATTTTCAAACTGAATATTGATATTTCAATGAAGCTCTGATTATTCACTTTAATTTGCAGAAGACAAAGCTT